GTGGGCTGGATGGAGGAGGTGGCTCAGGCCGGGGGAGCAGCCTTAGTTCTGGGGATGGGATCTGGGTCGCTCACCTGCTGAGCCGACTGAACTGGTTTGACAGGCAGCACAAAGCCTGCTGAGATGCACAAAGAACCTGGCAGGAGCTAAAAGCTGCTCTCAGGGCCGTGCAGGGGTGGAGGGGCAGATGGGAAAGACGCAGACACAGGAGCCTAGGGGAGGGCTGGCTGGAGCACTGGGCTGCCTGGCTCCTGCTGCCTGGGGACGGTTACGGTAGGACCCTGGGTCTGACGCAGGCACACGCTAGCTGTTCTAAAAACCTCTCGAGCGCTTTGTCCCTCCTCTCAGATAACCTGCTGTCTGCGGAAGGCGCCGTATTCCTGGGCAGGGGCCCCACAGGCAAGAAATGCAAGTGCCCCAAATACCCCCCAACTGTCAGGGTTACAGGGACAGCTGCACCTTGGCTGGGAACATGCTGTTTGGGAGGTTAGCTCTCTGCCCTTCTCCACTCAGGGGTCAGAGCCCTGTCCCTCTCTGGCCTGGAAACACACCCCTCAGGGGTCAGGGCCCCGTCCCTCTCTGGCCTGGGAACACACCCCTCAGGGGTCAGAGCCCTGTCCCTCTCTGGCCTGGAAACACACCCCTCAGGGGTCAGGGCCCCGTCCCTCTCTGGCCTGGGAACACACCCCTCAGGGGTCAGAGCCCTGTCCCTCTCTGGCCTGGAAACACACCCCTCAGGGGTCAGGGCCCCGTCCCTCTCTGGCCTGGGAACACACCCCTCAGGGGTCAGAGCCCTGTCCCTCTCTGGCCTGGAAACACACCCCTCAGGGGTCAGGGCCCCGTCCCTCTCTGGCCTGGGAACACACCCCTCAGGGGTCAGAGCCCTGTCCCTCTCTGGCCTGGAAACACACCCCTCAGGGGTCAGGGCCCCGTCCCTCTCTGGCCTGGGAACACACCCCTCAGGGGTCAGAGCCCTGTCCCTCTCTGGCCTGGAAACACACCCCTCAGGGGTCAGGGCCCCGTCCCTCTCTGGCCTGGGAACACACCCCTCAGGGGTCAGAGCCCTGTCCCTCTCTGGCCTGGAAACACACCCCTCAGGGGTCAGGGCCCCGTCCCTCTCTGGCCTGGGAACACACCCCTCAGGGGTCAGAGCCCTGTCCCTCTCTGGCCTGGAAACACACCCCTCAGGGGTCAGGGCCCCGTCCCTCTCTGGCCTGGGAACACACCCCTCAGGGGTCAGAGCCCTGTCCCTCTCTGGCCTGGAAACACACCCCTCAGGGGTCAGGGCCCCGTCCCTCTCTGGCCTGGGAACACACCCCTCAAGGGTCAGGGCCCTGCCCCCTCCAGCCTGGGAACCCCAGCCTGGGGGGGGGGGCTCTCTGGCCAGGTGGGCCTGGCGTGGGCCCGATCCATTGGCTTTGTCCCTGTGCCTAATCTCCCTCCTTTGGGGTCGGTGGGGGAGTGGGCCTTGCGAGGGGCTAGGAGAGGCCTAGAGACAGGCTGAGCTAGGAGGCAGCAGCGGGGCTGACTAGCTGGAACTAGCTGCTTGCTGCAGGGTCCCAGGATGTGGGGCTGGGTTCCCTGCTGGAGGCATGAAGGCCCCCAGTGCTGAGGGCTGGAGGGCCAGCAGAGCCTGAGGGAGGCTGAAGGCCCAGTGAGAAGCCAGGCAGGTTCTGTGGAGCTGGGCTCCATTTACACCCAGCAGGGTGGGACTCCGTGTTCCTCAGCTCGCTGGCCCAGCCGCAAGGAGCTGGGGGGCTGCAGGGTGGAGCAGCCATTGCTCAGGGCAGGGTGGGGGTGCCCGTGGAGAAGGCCTGGTAATGGCCAGGAGGCGCACACCATGTGAGAGGCACCTGCATGGCTATTCAGCCAGAAAACACGGGCGCAAAGGCAGGCCAGGGCCCTGGCAGGGCAGCGCCACATCTGTCCTGGAGAGCTCTGGCGGGGTGTGTGCCGGGTGTCACAGCCTCTGGCAGGCCCCAGCCGCACCCTCCGGCTCCCCAGAACCCTGCATGGCCACAGGCGCGGGGAGGCCAGGTGAGAGCCAGGGTGGGGACGTCAGTACAGACAGGGGCTCTACCCGGGATCTGCCACACGCTAAACCTGGCAGGGCAGCGCCACATCTGTCCTGGAGAGCTCTGGCGGGGTGTGTGCCGGGTGTCACAGCCTCTGGCAGGCCCCAGCCGCACCCTCCGGCTCCCCAGAACCCTGCATGGCCACAGGCGCGGGGAGGCCAGGTGAGAGCCAGGGTGGGGACGTCAGTACAGACAGGGGCTCTACCCGGGATCTGCCACACGCTAAACGGGGCTGCCTGAGGTTTGCTGGCTTCCCCTGCTGGTGGGGGGGAGG